AACGAACTTTACTTAATATGATTAACGACGCTAATACTATATAAGTTTATAGATATCTATAAAAATNACTTGAAGGGAGTATGGTTGTTTTGACAGTTAGCCTATAGTGTGTATCAAATCTTGCTGTATCAATACCGGTGGAGGGAGTTTGTTGAGAATTTTAAATTGGATTTGGGAAGAAATTAGGTGGAAAGTAGATATGACTGCAACTTTCTTTTTGATTATGATCCTGTTCTGTTTGAATTGGTTGTGCGATTGAGAGGGATGAACTACACATTGACAGTNATTCCTTGATAGTAATACTAACATTTGTAAGACAATTTTACTCTTTGGAAAAAATAGGACCCAAAAAAAAAAAAGAAAAAACAACCGGACAAAAAAAAAAAANTACATAATATAGGGTTTTTTGCATTTTTAACCCTGAAAGTTTTCAAGATTTTTATTTTATATTCTTAAAGATTAATTTTTTTACATAATACTTTTAATGTATCAAAAGTGTTGCAATATGACTTTTTTACTAACTTCTGTTATTTTTTTTTTTTTTTGTTAAAAGTTAACTCATTGACACTATGAAAAAACTAACATAAAGATTACATTACAACANAGAAAAAACAACCGGACAAAAAAAAAGAAGAAAAATATTTCTAAGACAATTTTATATATATGGAAAAAAAACTCTTTATTTTACATTGGTGCACCGTGCAAAATATTAGATTAAAGTAGATCGAGGGCATTTTGGCCAACTATATATNTATTTGTTTTGCATACACTACTCCATTCAACATATCTACTTTTAGGTGGAGACGGTGATGGAACCCTATTTTTAACTTTATACATTTAATTGGTGGCATACAAATACAATGAGTTGAAATTAATTGGATTTTATAATTAATTATGTCAAATGAGATTAGTATCATCTTTACCTTTTCAAACCTACAATCCATAGGCACTCTGGATTCGAAATTCTTTGAATTTCTTTNATTAAAACCATGGGATATATGATCTAACCAAACACAAAGGTGGACTTGATACCTATTAATTATTATCCAAATCTTGGCCCAACGTTTTTCAAACTCCAGATTGAAATGGATAGTTTTGTTGTTCCCTATTTAATCTTATGTTGATTTGTATGTATTAACTTAGTTTTAACTTCAACCCTTCAAAGGTCATAGTTCTGGATCTACCCGTTTATCTGGCTTCCCTGTNGGACGAGTTATAAATTTAGACATCTTTAACTTTGAATTTTTGTAATTCTTTGTGATCAAGTCACGAAAGATTTACGAATATCTTAATTTTAATATAAATAAATTAAAAAAAAATAATTAAAATGTTTATAAATTAACGTCAACACCGTGTTGAGAAAAAAAAAAAAAAAGACACCACGTGGTTGAAAAGCGAGCTACACTCCAATCGTGCTTCTTATGNGTAACTCCTCTCTTATGAGTTATAACTTGACTTTTAAAAAATTTAATTTAGCTTTAAAAATTATAATTTTGGTATCAATTTTAATCTGTCATGATCGATCATGTTATCCCTTAAAACAATTATAATTTAATTTTAAAAATTTATAATTTTCAATACCATACAAAAAACGGTGTACCATTGCCTTTCGGTGATTAATTATATTAATTACTTCACGAGTCTTGTCAATNGTTTTTATTCTCTGCTAAGCATATCAATTCAAGGTGATGGTCTCAATTCTGGATTCAGCCCTTAATCTGGTTCCTCCACTTTATCTCTTTGCTTTTTTATGTTGTAATAGCAGATTATCTTCTAATTCAAGGTCATGGTCTCAGGTGGAGAAGAACTTCCTCAATGGCAAGTTGAAGGCAATTACTGCCTNCAAGCAACCCACGTTTTTCACCCGTCCATTTTCTCCATACGTGGACGGCCAAGATTTTCCCACATATCCAATCATCATTGGCCAACAGTACCGCATCAACCCTTCCTACCCCATTGTGATTGGGCCACGTTCTGCCCAACTGGGCCCACATCCCATTATTTTATATATATATATATATATATACTAACACTTATTAAATTCATTCTTCGCTCCCACCANAAATTTTATTAGAATTTTAAAAAACAAATTTATTGATTATGAGATTTTAATAAGAGGCGGCTTTCCCCCTCTTAGTTTTGAGTAAGCAGAACCATTCTGTTTTAGTTTTTTCCACATTCTTATCGGGTGATTCATGAATTTGTCTATAATTTTTTCAACTGATATTAGGATATAGAAAGATCTCTTTATTTCTTCATCGTAAGTTCTCCTTTCAAAAAGTGTCGTAATAAGTGAAAGTAAAATTTGTTGACTCCACTTTCGACATAAAAATGGATTTGTTGACTTTGTTTTTAAAAAATATTATAAATAAATTCAAAATTATCATAGATTAATAAATTTGTTAAAAAATATCTGTACATTTGTAAAAAATTCCCGATACTGTAATACTGCAAAGGATTCATGCCTTCCTTGTTTATTTATTTATTTTTATCGCAAGAGAACTACAACACTTTTATTTAAAAAATAAAAGTAAGACAATCTCTATATAACCTTCGCATACATACTTAAAGACTATCCGAGTTGAGATATCCCAGCCCTTACTTCAAGATGGTTTGTTTTGCAAGGCTGTGTAACTACAAAATGCAAACTGACAACAATAGTTAATGCTTCAGGTGCAACCTGGAGCAGACAAAGGTTTTGCTCTTACCAAAACATAAGTCCATCGATTGTGTTCTGTTTCATTTTTTAACTATTACCATTTGTATGTACACTGCAGCTCTCATTTACTTCTTCTCAGACAAGATTATTATATAGGTTTCTCTCTTTCCAACTGGAGATTCACGAAGACAACCTTTTTTTTTTCTTCAATAATATTATTCAGATATAATTTATTTAGTTAATTTATCATAATTGTTAGATTGATAATGAATTTTAATAAATATTAAATTTATCTGGTTATAAATAATTGGATTAATAAATTAAATTTAAGTACTATTGCAATTTTAAAAAAAAAATTAATTACACCAGGTGAGCCGGTTTGGCCGGCATGAATCCAGGCTGTCGTGCTACAGCTGACTGGGACACAGTCTGAGCCCAGCTCGTTGCACGAGGCTTTATTTATTGCTTTCCTTCCTCTCACATCACAAGTCAATTGCCAATTAAAGTGGATCCAAATGGAAAGGAATTGGACATTGTCATAGCCTTATGCTATTAAACTCTCAATTCCTGTGGTTCAAAAAAACAAAAAAAAAACTCTCAATTCCCTACCCTTTTTTATTATTAGAAATAATCATGCCTAAAAATATTTTTACATTATAATTTATAGTTAATTAGTCTAGGGTCTGTGTAAATTAATTTTCGTCCTACCTAATTTTTAATATAAAAAAAGGTTCTCGGATTTTTTAAAAAATTTGTATGTAATCCCCGTGTTAGTGCGAAAATTAAGAGATTGACTAGTTACTGATTTTCATTACCTATTTTACTCTTATCACATGATTTTAGCCTAAATATAGTTATTATTATTTTATTTTTTTTGCATTTGTTATTGAGTTTTTTGCAATGTTGTATATCAGTTTTGAATTTCAAACTTATGGACTAAGCAATTTGGATATTATGATGATGTTTGACGATCTGTGCCTTAGTGTACTTGTCTTACAATCTATGTTTATGAAGAAGAAAATACATTTATCAATCTGTGTTTATGGAAAGAAGATATATTAATGATCTGTATTTTAATGTACCTATCTGACGATCTATGTTTATGGAGAAAAAAGAATATTATCGATCTATATTTATGAAGAAGAAGGTACATTAACGATTTGTATTTTAATATACTTGTTTCAGTTTGACAATCTATGTTTATGGAGAAGAAGGTACATTAACAATTTATGTTTTAGTGTAACTGTCTGACAATTATACATACCTGTTATTATTTATGTTTTTTTATTGCCCACCTGTTATTTGTTGGCTCAAATGTATGTATTCATTGCGTACCTAATTTTTTTAGTGTTCATGTCTTACGATTTGTGTTTATTGAGCAAAATGTATAATATAATGATGTAACTTGGTAGAATATGTGTTTAAATTAAGTGATGACATTGTCATTATTTTTTACAATTATAAAAGACGTTAGTTACGTATATTATTTCGATTTTTTAACAGGACCCTAATCCAAGAAAAAAGTTATCGATTGGATTGTTTTTTGAAATCCTACTGGGCCTAGGACTACCCTCGAAATCTCTCCATAATTTAAGTAATAATTTATTTATTTTTAGTTACATAATTTTAAAAATTAAAGTAGATAAAGAAAAAATAAGAAAAAAATAATTGTAGATTAATTGAATTATCTTGAATTGGATAGTGTATTGATTAAGTTTCATGACATTAGAGGTCGGGAAGAGAAAATAATATTTTTTTTGGGTTAAATATTATAGACCGATTTTTTTTTTTCAGTATTCTATCGTCGATTTATGGTAAAATTATAACTTTAAAATAAAAAGTAACAATTGCTTAAAGAAAGACTATGATTTATCACAGGCACCCATGATCAACTATGAAATTTCAAGTGCAATTATAATTTTTTATGATTGATCATTCTTTTTAAAATTATAACTTATATCTTAAAAAAATTATAATTTAATTTAAAAAAATTATAATTTTTGGTCCGATAGAGTGTGATTGTAAGAATCCAAAATTTCCTATTCTTCAGCTGGATTCACAACGACTCTTGAAAAGATTTCTTGTTAAAAAAAAAAAAAAAAAAAACTTTGACACTAACTCATTAGTTGGCCAAATTTGAATGGGTATATATATAGTAGCTTCCCAAGCGTGCCCTCAAAAGTTAATGATAAAGACCCCCTTAGACACCCGCCATCCCACCACGATTAACCGATTGTTGATTCTGCTTCAGGTGGCGCCTCTGCCTCTGCCTCTCTCTCTCTCTCTCACACACACACACACACACACGCACGCTTGAGAGTGTGATGAGAAGGAATAGACAATGCCGGAGCTAGGGTTTGAAGCTCAGAACCAGTTGAGTTCAGGCTTCGGAGCTCGTGATGTTAGTCCTGATTCCGTGATCTTCACCGGGGAGTCCAACTTTAGTCTCTTCTCTTCTGCTTCTGGTAGCGTTGATCGTTACTCTTTTGTTTCTGATGTTCATGATCAGGACTCTGTCGTCTCCGAAATTAATCAGGTAATTCCATTACATTTTCGTTAGATTTTTTGGTGTTCTACGTCTTGGTCTCTGTGTGTATCTCTTCCTGAATTTTGTTTTGTGGATGAGGGCGAAGAACAGTGCTCTAAGCAAAGTTCACGAGCTGAGATAGGAACAGAAAGCCTAAAATGATTGATAGCTCCTTTGCACTAGCGGTCAATCAGTTTTGATTTTATTTTTGCATGACTTTTTTGATATTCTCATCTGTGTGGGGGAATGAGTTGATATTTCATACAAAAAGCGATAATGATTGAACGAGTGAAAACAAAGCTGTCTAATCAATTTCTTAACATTTTTCAGTCCGACTGTTATGAATTCATTGCCTTTTAATTGGTAGTATGTAACAGCAATGAAATTTCGAGTATTAACTCTCTAGTGCTTGAATTTGAAACTCGTCCATATCGAAGAGTTAAATATCTATGATTTGAACCAGCATTTGGCAGGACATGAATATCGTGAGAATTCGAGTGGTCCAAATCGAGATCCAAACAAAGCCCCAGTACTCAAGGATAGTCACATTATCAGAAAAGAAAAAACAAAAGGTACACTGCTACTCTGCATTTTTAGGTAATCTAATCCTTCCTTTAAAAGAATTAAGAATTTCAAATTTCAGTCGCTCTTTGTTGAAAACTCACTGTTTCAGTCAATTATATGCAGTTCGAAAACAAGGCAATAATTATAAGGAGTCTGAACTAGAGGACGGAAATCTAACCCTAGATTCTGCAAGAAATTCCTTCTCTCTAGCTCTCAAAGGTACTACCAAAGAGAAATACAGGACTACAATTTAATTTAAAGCATTGCGTCTAATTTTATGTCTTCTGGTTTTTTAATTAGAATGTCAAGACCGGAGGGTCAGATCTGAAGCTCTATTAAGGAAAGAAGACAGGCAAAGGAATGTTTCTCCAGATCTGAACAATTCTATAACCAATGCATCCAACTCCTCTCTGCGAGTTGGAGTTATGAAGAAAAGCTCTGTTACCACTCGCCAACCAGTAACTTTTCCAAGCCCCGAGACACCAAATTATCAGCATAGGAATGGTGGGATTCAGAAAGGTTGGAGTTCAGAACGTGTACCGCTGCATACAAATGCTAATAGGATGCATGTGGGGTCTTCGTTGTTGCCTTTCAATAATGGAAGGACATTACCTTCTAAATGGGAAGATGCTGAGAGGTGGATTTTCAGTCCAGTTTTGGGAGATGGTGCCTTGAGGCCTTCATTACCACAGCCAAAGAGGAGGCCCAAGTCCAAAAGTGGGCCTCTTGGGAATCCTGGGATCGCTTACTATTCGTCGTATTCCCCAGTAGTGCCTATGTTGGAAGGAGGGAATGTTGGGAATTTAGTAGGGGGTTCTCCATTTTCGACTGGAGTTATGGCAGCGGATGGTTTGGCAATCCGGTGTGGTGGAGCTGGAAATTTTCCTGCATGCACTAAGCCTTGCATGGCAAGGTCAGTCAGTGTACATGGATGCTTTGAAATGTTCAATCAATCATCATTGCCTGGATCCCAAGGTAAATGTTTATCCTTTCATTGGGCTTCTTGTATTTACCGTAGATTACAATCTGTATTAATGAAATTATGTGAGTCTTGAAAATTTATATATGTATTATTATTGTATTTCATATCCAAAAACTGCTTACCAATAGTTAGAGAAGTGGGGAAGGTTGGGTGTTTGTGGCTATGTGTGGGTGCATGTAGTCTATAGTTCATCCCATGTACACTTCTTCATGTTTGTTTGGACAACATTGTAAACTCTGTCATGCATGAAGAAAAGAATTGATGCCAACTATTTAGCAGGTCACATTATAAAATCAATTGCTTCTCCTGTTTGCAAGATACTCCTTTCCTCTATGAACAGATAGATGCTGGATATATCATCTGATGCAAAATTAAATAATTACTATCGTGTTTGCCATTGTATTTCAGTCATCGTTGATGTTTTTGAAATTGGTACGTTATTGCTGATTTTGCAAAACACCAAAAAAATTATATACCAAGTGATGTTGTTGTCCCTTCCATTTTTGCTGTTTTCGTCATCATTGACTTTGAAATGGGTATCTTATAATTGAGTGAAACACCCACATTTATATTCCAAGTGAATTTCTTGTACTTTTTTTTTTTTGTGTTTTTTTAGTTTTCCCCCGGGGTTGGGGGGATGGATGGGGGTTGTTTGTTCAGTTTACTCTTTTTAACTTCCAACAGAGAGTGCTTAAACACATTATGTTTCAGTTTTCACACATTCTCGCATTAGTCATAGTGATTGATCTGAAACTTATTGGTCAATACCAGAGATTTGAATATAGCCAGTGTATTTAAAAAAATAAAATAAAAGGGAGAACAATTAAAGAGTTTCCATTCTGCCAATCTAGTACTCTGAACTCCTCATGCAAAACTTAGTAATTTTGGCCTTTACATTATGTCAGATGCATAGTTCTGCATCCCTAACTTTATGGTCTCAGAATATTACATTTCGTGCTTGAACATGGATCTTCTAGATCTTGGTGCACCTCCTTCTAAGTTAGGCAGATCTATCTTCCTCAAATATGCATAATTTTGTGCAACTTTTCCCACTTCGCTGGTAAGAGAATCTCCTGTGATTTGTTGTTGCTTACATACAAATGTATATCTTCATTACTTTTTGGAAAAAGAAAAGCCTCCAAACTTGATATTGCAGAAGTAGCTTACCCTACTTTTGAAAAATTTCCATTTAGGCAAGTATGCTACAAGCATAAGGTATTATGATTGTTAGGAGTCATTTAACATTTTGCTTTTGATGAACATAGTCTAATTTTCTTAATATCTGAGTGTGGGGTAATGTACCAGCTTTAATTTGTTTTGCTTGTTTGTATTGCCACTTTAAAGATGTGTACGATAATAGTGAATTAAAATATACTGTTCATATTTCCTTTCTAATTGAGGCATATTGTCATTGGCTTAAACGTACAGTTGAGAAACTTGATGATATTAAAGAGGCAGACAACATTTCTCGTGCTGTTTCAAGAAGGGATATGGCAACCCAAATGAGCCCAGAGGGTAGCCATCATTCGTCTTCCAGGATGCAGTCTTCTTCCCCTCCTTCCACCCCTTCTAAACCTCCCATTGTGAAGTTGCAGAGTGTCCATTCCTCTAAACCAGAAGTCAGGGATGTGCAGGTTGATGAACAAGTAACTCTAACTAGGTGGTCCAAGAAAAATAGAGCTCGAATTCCAGGGAAATGCTCGGAAAATGTTGATCAGTGGAAAAGGAAAGCAATGGATGTCCGATCTAATGGTTGGGAAGTTTCAGAGACAGCAAAGAGCATTTCAAAGTATGTGTACTTTACTATTGTCAAATCATATTCTCCGACTTTACTAAACTTTTTGCATATTTAGTTTAGCATTGGATATGATTCAGGGCAGATCCAAAATGAATGGGCCGTTGAAATTTGAATAGTTAGATGCCAACTAGAAGAAAAAATGGAAGAGCTAAAACTAAAGAAAAAAAAAACTAGTGGATTCCAATTGAATGCACTGAGATCACTTAATATACAGCGTTGATATTTGCCATTTTGGTTTACTAATAAACCATAAGGCTCTATGGCCAACAGTGTGGAGGAGATGCGTGTCACTGTGGCATGCCAAATGTTTATTTCTTGCTTTCTTGTGGCAACATCAAACCTTCTGGTTATCTGAGTAATTATAACTAATTTGTGTAATCTATTTTGAGTTCTGTGTCACTATATCTCTTTCACCTTTAGTTTCAACTTAATAAAACCAACCGGCCTTTGGTCTAATTGTACTCCTTACCTTGTGAAAGCTTTGTCTTCTTGAAGTCAAGGGTTTATGCCCCCTTCCCCCTCCCCCTCCCAAAAAAAAAAATATATATTTTCAACTTAATAAAAATTTTCTATAAGGAAGATCATCATTTTTTACTTTGGAAGATATTGATAATTCACTGACTTAGATGTGGCGTTTGTGTCAATTATTGGGCTTGCTATTGAATTCTTGTTTTCTTTCTTTTCTTTTCCCTAACCACATCCAAGATCCCACTACAAAATTGACCAAACAACATAGCTTCAGAACTGGTGGTTCCACAAAAATCAGACACCTCATTAAGCTCTAAGAATACAACAAAAAACAGAAAATATAGATTTATGATTTATCAATATTTATTTCAGGATGAAGAGTGAGGAAGCCAGAATTACTGCGTGGGAGAATCTGCAGAAGGCAAAAGCTGAGGCGGCGATACAAAAACTCGAGGTCAATTTTTAATTGCAAAATTTCATATATGCAGTTCCAAAGTTATCAATGCTTTGCTAGATCATCACTCAACCCTTAGTGCAATAACCATGCTTTCATTGATGTATTATAAGTTAGCTTCCTCATTATGTATTTATTTGTATAATTAAGTAGTCTACAGGAGGCTTCATGGATGTGACCTGATTGGGTGTGCCATATGCCTTAAATTTATCACTGAGGAGCATACTCCCATAGGATAGATGCTAGTCTGTGAGAGAGCTGCACACTTGTTCAATATAATGGCACACATTAGGTACTTTAGAAACTCTCAATTGTCCCAGCAAGAAAAAAGAAACTTTTTATGGTGGTTTTTTGCTCAGGGATACATGTATAATAAATATTTTTCTGGTACCCAGCTGGCAAACCAGGGAAAAATATGTACACAATTAATTTTTCTTTGTTTCTAAATAACCACTTGGATGTTTTGAAACNGCAAAGAAACTTTTTATGGTGGGCTTTTGCTCAGGGATCCATGTATAATAAATATTTTTCTGGTACCCAGCTGGCAAACCAGGGAAAAATATGTACACAATTAATTTTTCTTTGTTTCTAAATAACCACTTGGATGTTTTGAAACTACTATTAAGTAATATTTTCTGCTAATAATAACATAATAAAGTTGTGTTNGGAAAATATTGATTTATGATTTATCAATATTTATTTCAGGATGAAGAGTGAGGAAGCCAGAATTACTGCATGGGAGAATCTGCAGAAGGCAAAAGCTGAGGCGGCGATACAAAAACTCGAGGTCAATTTTTAATTGTAAAATTTCATGTATGCAGTTCCAAAGTTATCAATGCTTTGCTTGATCATCACTCAACCCTTAGTGCAATAACCATGCTTTCATTGATGTATTATAAGTTAGCTTCCTCATTATGTATTTATTTGTATAATTAAGTAGTCTACAGGAGGCTTCATGGATGTGACCTGATTGGGTGTGCCATATGCCTTAAATTTATCACTGAGGAGCATACTCCCAAAGGATAGATGCTAGTCTGTGAGAGAGCTGCACACTTGTTCAATATAATGGCACACATTAGGTACTTTAGAAACTCTCAATTGTCCCAGCAAGAGCAAAGAAACTTTTTATGGTGGTTTTTTGCTCAGGGATACATGTATAATAAATATTTTTCTGGTACCCAGCTGGCAAACCAGGGAAAAATATGTACACAATTAATTTTTCTTTGTTTCTAAATAACCACTTGGATGTTTTGAAACTACTATTAAGTAATATTTTCTGCTAATAATAACATAATAAAGTTGTGTTCTTTGGAAAATAAAATCCAGACCCCCTTTAATGGGTGCTAAACTGAGTATTATCTTTTACAAAGATGCAATTGAATAGAAAGAGCCTGTAAGAGGGAAACTATTTCCCAAGAAACAAGAGAGGGAGATTCATCACCATCACTCCATGCATCTGTGAGTGTGTTGGGGTTATTTTCTTATGACTTCACTGAATCAGTCTGGATGAAACATGATTTAAAATGCATGAGGTTCCTTGTTGAGATCAATCATGTTAGAGCATTTTTGCATTTGGTAGTAGGGGTTGGACTGACTTAAAACTTGTGCTTCAGATGAAACTGGAAAAGAAGAGATCATCATCCATGGATAAGATTATGAACAAACTGAGGTCAACGCAGAGGCGAGCCCAAGAAATGAGGAGCTCATTGTTAGCCAACCAGTCGCATCAAGTTGCCAAAACTTCCCATAAGGTCATATTTCTCCGCAGGACACTCCAGATAGGTGCCTTAAGAGGCTGCTTTACTTGTCACCCGTTTTAGTGCCTCATCCCAGCTATAAGTTACTCCAGTGTAATCAGCTTCAATTGCCAGGTGATTCCTTGTGCAGTCGGTCTGTTCAATACGTAGTCTTCGTTTCTTTCAGTTTATTCGGATTGCCATGCCTCTAGCCCTAGATGTTTAGTTGTGCATCTAGGGCCTAGCATTGTAGCTTTTTCAATAATATTGTTGCAATTAGCAGTCAGCCGACTGCCTGATATGCAAAAATAAAGAGAAAACAATAAGTAATTCTAGTCAACGCATTCCAATATCTATCGTCTCGCTTCGGGTGGAAGGGAATCTTGGTGTGGTTCTTTATGCTTGAGGAGGGTATTGATTAGCAAATTTCTTGTGCCAATTGCAGAATGGCAGCGTCAGATATCTAATTGGATCTTGAGATTCATTTCAGAAAGTTGGTATTCAAATAAACCAGCAAAAGATAGCATAGTACTGGAATGGAGATTGATTTCGATCTTCAGTTGATCTACACAATAATAGTGCTCTTTGTTCTCCAACCAAATTGTATCTAAATTTTAACAAACTATAGCTAAATTTTAGCTATTTTTTTAAATAATCACCTAATGTCTTTAATATTTATTTAGAAATATTTAAATAATTCAGATAGAATCATAATTGGATCAAATATATGTATATTCAAATTCGAATCTATAAAATATAATATATCAGATTCGGATTATAGGTAAAAATTATTAATTCATATCTGGCTAATTGGATTTGGATTAGAATTTGATCTATTGACAAATTTATTTGAAAACACGTATTTTCTTGTGAAGAATAATGGATTGGGTGTATTTTTCTTTTTCTTGGGAGTTAATTCGACGCGTCCAAATTTAACTTTTAGTAGAGATGTGTTTGCATTCAGGACGTAGAGAGGTTAATCAAATTGAGATATTCGAGTTTGACTTGAGTTCGGCTCGGGTTTGGCTCGTTCAAGTTTGAATAAATTTTTTAACTCGTTTAGAAAATAAGTCTTACAAGTTCGACTCAAACTCGACAGACTTGACTTGTTTATGTACAAATATTTGGGCTTGACTTATTTTTGGCTCGTTCAAGTTCGGCTTGTTTAGGAAATGAGTCGAACTTGAACAATTTTTTAAGCTCGATTAAAAAATAAGTTTTTTAAGTTTGACTCGAACTCGAATTAAACTTGCTCGACTAACAACCCTATCAAGAAGGGAGGTTGGGGTGGGGGTGGGGGTGGTTGCAAAAGGGGAGGGTGGTTTTGTGTTGCTGTTTTCTTCTTTTCTGTTTTTGGGTTGTGGAGGCTGGCTAGGAGCATTTGTGTGAGAGTTGAGGCGCCACAGAGATAGAAGGGGTTTTAAGTATTATTTCAAAAAAATTTGGGCAATTGGTGACAGGTTTTAGAATACAAGTAGCTGCCAGATGAGATGCAGGTGATCTTTTAAGAAGTATTCTTCAAAATGGAACATTTAGATGTAAATTAAAAATTTTAGTGATTAAAGTGACAATTAAAGAATGAGTATCAAAGNTTAAGTATTATTTCAAAAAAATTTGGGCAATTGGTGACAGGTTTTAGAATACAAGTAGCTGCCAGATGAGATGCACGTGATCTTTTAAGAAGTATTCTTCAAAATGGAACATTTAGATGTAAATTAAAAATTTTAGTGATTAAAGTGACAATTAAAGAATGATCAAAGTACAGTGTAATATAGTGAGAAGATACTTTTTTTTTTTTTTTTTTTCAGAGTATCTGGACCAGTTTATACATATTTTGATTAATTCCTTTTTAAGTCTAGTCAAAGGCAAGTCATCGATGTTAGGACTAACGTATTCATGAGAGATAAATTTTTTATGGTTTAATTCCAAGAAATTGTTAANTCAAAGTACAGTGTAATATAGTGAGAAGATACTTTTTTCTTTTTTTTTTTCAGAGTATCTGGACCAGTTTATACATATTTTGATTAATTCCTTTTTAAGTCTAGTCAAAGGCAAGTCATTGATGTTGGGACTAACGTATTCATGAGGGATAAATTTCTTATGGTTTAATCCCAAGAAATTGTTAAATTTGAATTTATGATGTTTAAGTTTACAATTTGTTCTTAGTTCTTATTAGTGTTGGAGTTGAGAAGAGACTTTTTGTGTGAAGTAGAGTCTATGAACTATTATTATCAACTTTGTTCCGGATGAANCGATGTTAGGACTAACGTATTCATGAGAGATAAATTTTTTATGGTTTAATTCCAAGAAATTGTTAAATTTGAATTTAAGATGTTTAAGTTTACAATTTATTCTTAGTTCTTATTAGTGTTGGTGTTGAGAAGAGACTTTTTGTGTGNGGATGAAACGTTTCAACGAAACATACATTTATAGCTTTGAGCAGGTTGTGGAGAGAGAAGCATTCAATTGTTTTATTTCTATTTCATTTTGTCAAGTGAATGATTTTAGCGAAAAAACACTTGTCATTTTTCAGATTCGATCTTATTAATACAAGAGAANAGACGAAACATACATTTATAGCTTTGAGCAGGTTCTGGAGAGAGAAGCATTCAATTGTTTTATTTCTATTTCATTTTGTCAAGTGAATGATTTTAGCGAAAAAACACTTGTCATTTTTCAGATTCGATCTTATTAATACAAGAGAAAGATTTATAATTTAGAAGCTCGAACTTACATATATTAAGGATGAACATGTAATTTTCTTTATTTATGCTTCTAGAAACAGCATTTTGACAATGTTTCCACAAAAATACTTAAAGATGTTTGCATTTGAATACATCTCACCTAGCACAAGGNCGTTCAGAAATTATTTTAATAAATTTTTACTGGTGAAATTACAAAGTCCCTGACCACGCTCACTATATTTTTCGAGAAAAACCTAACTAAATTAGTATAACAATCAATCTCTAAACTCCAATGTACTCTACACTCGAACCTTCAACTTCAAGATAAAAAGTTCGGGCCCTACGATTATATTTGATCGAAGTTCATTACACCAAGTTGTGCTCAACTTAAGAGAGGATGGAGACCCGTTGCCATTTGACCTTTAGATCATGGAGATCCCCCAAACAAGTCCTACATCTTCCAATTGATCTCATCCCTTCAACGCATAGCCCCACTAACATCTCTCTCTCTCTCCAATGCTGGAAGAGAATTTGCAGATAGTTGTCAACCCGCCAACGTTATCATTATGATTTCCAGAGATAAGAACTCAAAAAATGTAACTTACTGAGCCCTTTTTATTGGTTATTCTTCTGATTGGAAGTGATCAATTCTATCCTTGATTTTAGTTACTTAGTCCAAGAATCAAAAAATACCCTCTTGCACTCGTGTTTCTGTGTGTTTGTCAGGTGTGTATGAGAGAGAGAGAGAGAGATTCTTAGCATCTTGGGCATGGATAACAAGTCTAAAGGTGTGAAAATANTATAATTTTTTGAATCAAGTTATAATTTTTAAGGTTTGTATAAATTTTTTAAAGTCAAGTTATAACTTTTATGGTACGTTATGATCATTCTAATATTTTTAAAATCAATCACAAATGTTGTAAAAATAATAACCCTTTAGGATCAGCATTCTTTATGGTTGATTCACATTTCAAGCAGCTCAAATAAGGATCAGCATTCTTTATTTGGGTGCCTATATGCTTAATTTAATCTTGATAATAGGAAGAAATCTAAATTCTCCTCAATACTAGAGGCAGAATTAACACACAGGCTAACAATTGAGTAGCTTAGTTTCAAGGGATTAGCCATAAATCGGACGTCCTCTGTTTGACTCTCGTTTATATTTTCTAGATTCAATTTATACTTATAGTTAGTTGGTGATTGTAGATATAAGCTTATTCCTTTATAAAATTAGGTTCAATCGTAGCTTGTTTTACAGGGATTGCTCGTCATATATAAAAATAATTGGACAGAGACAGATATTATCCGACCGTTTTATGATGTAATTGGTAAAATAAAGTATGTTAGCAGGATACAATGTATTTGGGGTTCGAAGGGTGCATGCCCTATATCCATAGGACGAGAGGGTAACCCCCTTACTTCTTATATGAGAGAAAAAAAAAAGCATTCAATACAAGGACGATGTTGGGACCTTAGTGGGAAGTCTCACATGGGTTTTTCTCATACATGGTTGGTTTGACCACTTGTGATTTTGTATCTTTCATTTCGGCTTTAAATTTTGCTGTCCAACCCTCCTAGATTGGATTTGGATTTGTATGTGAGGAATAAATGGCTTTTAGTGCAGCATGATCCATGAGACATAAGCACTACTCTCCTTCGATCCAACCTTGGGAGGCAACCTACCCCTTCTCTCTCTCTCTCTCTCTCTCTAATAATAGTTTTCTATTTTGAAGTGATGCACTCTATATACTAAAAAGCTTGATAGCCATCCAATAGTGTGTGTGTTACTTGCTTTAGGCGATGTAAAACAAGTTGCACTAGATTCCATAGAATGAGAAGATAGTGGTGGGTCTAAGGAGTAGTAACAAGTGATAACAGAGACAAAACAACAAATAATGAAGTTAGAATAGAGTGTGAAAATAGTTTAATTTGACTATAAGCCCTTTTTTGGTCTAGTTCCATTTCCTAGACCTTTAATATCATTTTTGTTGTTTTAATAAAGATTGTGATGAACTAAATTTTCTCAAGAATGTAATTGTGGTAGCAACAAAAAATTTACTCAGGATTCCAACATAATGGAGAAGGAGAACAGTTCGAACTAATGCTTTCTTTAGACTCGTCACTGCAATGTAAACTATAAATGTAGGCAATTATCTACAACTATATACATATCATATTTTTTTAATGTATGGATTGAATTACTGTAGGTAAAAAATTAAAATTTAAGTGGTTACTCAGGTTTAAATGCTAAAAGTTAAAATTTAAATGAATTAGTCATATCCCGTGCTTGAAAGCATGATAAAATATAAAATTCGATCGCTCAAAAAAATATTTTTTTTCTTCATTTATTTGATTACATCATTTATAATCTATGCTTATCTATTATTTTCTTTAAAACATAGACAATTTTTTTTCCAAAATACGTGATCCGATAAAATTCTTTCAATATAGATATACTATCGTGTATGAATAATATTTTAAATAAAAATTATATTAAACTATAAAATAATTAAATATTAAAATAATCAGACAAGTGATAAAAATGAGTGATGTGATGTTTTGAGGAAGAAAAAGTGTAAGGGATAAAATTTAACTTATGAGCTATATATCTTATTATATAGATTACCGTGCATCAAGGGTGTGGTTAAAAGATTAAAATTTTAAATTTAAATAAATTACCGTGGTTAAAATGTGTGGTTGAAAAGTTAAAAATTAAAATTTAAATAAGTTATCATGGCTAAAAGGTTAAAATATTGAATCATAATATTAATCGTTGGATCTAAACAATCTGTGTTGTTGTTTTATTTTTCTAAATGAGAAGCTTAAGCATGAGACTCTGTTTTATTATTATTTAAATATAACTCATAAAATCATTGCTCTCTTCTTATTTATAATAATAAAACAAAGACCTTAAATTTTTTTTACCTCATTTAAATTTTTTTATTTTAAATTATTAAGTTCACTTGTCTATACTCATCTTATTAGTTACTAAATTTATCCCATGTATATTAACTAATTAAAAATTAAATTTAATTTCAACTTATTATATAAGTAATGATCAAAATTTTATTTCGGTGTATTTTAGTATGACAATATTTTAGATTTAGAATAAAAATGAATAATTTATTTTTTAAATATTAGTCAAAATACATCAAAATATCTTAAACACCTCAAAATATTTCAAAGACATTAACGAAAATATATCAAAACACCTTAAAATATTCTAACTCACTTCGAGCATTGAAATTTTGCTTCAAATATATATTTTTTTTCTTTGAGTAAGAAGATTAAATGAGATGAGATAAGCCACACCCAATAATTAATTCCATGGTCCAACGTGGACAGCCACGTCAGACGGAAGAAGTGACCACGTAGATTTGTTTCACGTGTCGAGCCGTGATGGGAACAACGTCAGGATGGGTGCCGACATGTAAAATACCACCGCATATTGTCAGACCATCACGTGTATTGCATGCATTCTATGACAATTAGCCCCCACTCTGATTTGCATTCTATGACAATTAGCCTCCACTCTGATTTACTTTCCTTAGAAGAGGAAGACTCCTCTAAACTTTGATACCCAATCAAAGATTATAATATTTTTAGCTTAAGTTATAAATTTTAAAGATAAATCGTACAATTATATTATTATTTTCTCATTAAAAAAATTTAAGAGTAAATGAGAGTGTTCAAAAATTATTTTAATAAATTTTTACTGGTGGAATTACAAAGTTCCTGACCACGCTCACTATATTTTTTGAGAAAAACTTAACTAAATTAGTATAACAATCAATCTCTAAACTCCAATGTACTCTACACTCGAACCTTCAACTTCAAGATAAAAAGTTCGGGCCCTACGATTATATTTGATCGAAGTTCATTACACCAAGTTGTGCTCAACTCAAGAGAGGATGGAGACCCGTTGCCATTTGACCTTTAGATCATGGAGATCCCCCAAACAAGTCCTACATCTTCCAATTGATCTCATCCCTTCAACGCATAGCCCCACTAACATCTCTCTCTCTCTCCAATGCTGGAAGAGAATTTGCAGATAGTTGTCAACCCGCCAACGTTATCATTATGATTTCCAGAGATAAGAACTCAAAAAATGTAACTTACTGAGCCCTTTTTATTGGTTATTCTTCTGATTGGAAGTGATCAATTCTATCCTTGATTTTAGTTACTTAGTCCAAGAATCAAAAAATACCCTCTTGCACTCGTGTTTCTGTGTGTTTGTCAGGTGTGTATGAGAGAGAGAGAGAGAGATTCTTAGCATCTTGGGCATGGATAACAAGTCTAAAGGTGTGAAAATAAGTGACTATGAAGCTTATGATATAAAAACATGACGATAACAATGACAATGAAAGAGCTTTTTTCTTTACATCCCCACAAGTTAATCAGCTTCACAAAGAGAAATAAATTACTTCAAACTAATTCTCTCTCTGTCAAGTATCAACTAAGCATATGAACATTTTAAACACACACTACTGTCTTCGAATATTGGTAATTACTTGTGGCTAGACTTTTATCTCCACGAATACTTTAGTTTAGCCATAAATGACCTGCATTTGACCGGATTAAAAAGGAGATTAATTGAGCTGCGTGCCTGGACACCTAGACAGTTAAACCAACAAAAAAAAACACACACACTACTGGTAGGGTTTTGCAATAGAAAAATAACTACCATTCCCACTAATTATTGGCACAGGGAAGCCATGAATGCCAATTGGCTTGTTAGCCCCTGCTCGTTCAAGTGATTGCACCTGGTTCTTCAAGAACTTGACATAGTGAATTGCTTCATCTAACATGGAGGCTGTGTCCATCTTCGTTCCTCCTGGCACAAGTCTCTGAAGTGTCCTAATTCTCTCACTTATCCTCTCTCTCCGGTGACGTGCCGCCACGCTCTGAGGATCCTTCGATATCTTCACGTTCCTCCTCTTAGGTGGCTTCACTGATTCGGGATCGATTTGAATAGGCTGCATTGCTGCTATTCGGAAGATCATCTCTCTCATAGCCGCCATTGAATTTCTCTTCTGTGACTCTGAACGAAATGTATTTGCACCAGCTAATTCACCACCGCCATTGCTCCACCTCCCAGTACTTGAATTGGGTAGGAAATTCAGTGCTGAATGTTCTTGATGGACTTGGGCAGAGTTATTAAACGATATGGTGGATGGTGGGTTCATAAATGAGAGTGAAGAAACTTGTGGGTTTTCTATAATTTGTGGCAAAGAGCAGGAACTTGTGCTTCCACTTCCACCGGAAAATTCCATAGTAGGCGTTTCAACGACATTGTTGTAGGCTCCGCAGAGCTCAGAAAGCTTGTCCATCTGCATCATCATCATCAGGTCCAATTGATCTTCATGACCAGACTTGAAGAAGTCAATGTCCATGGCTTAAAACTCTCTTTTATAGGGAACCCTAATAAAATAATACAAACAAAGAAAAGAAAATATGAGTTATTGGGAAGAGGAGTAGAGAAAAGAGAAGTGCTCAAAAGCTGAGAACTGAAAAAATTGATGGGCAGAGGGATGGGCAAGGGAAAGAGAAGAGAGAAGACTAAGAGTTTTTATCAGAATGTGCAGCAATGAAGGAAAGAAAATATTAGGGTTAGGAGTAGAAATGAAGGAATTAGATAGTGATATCGGGAACATACTATCAATCTCGTGGGTAGACTATATATAACAAGCGGCGGAATTTTATATTGTAAATAATTGCCATTCCAATATCTCCCCTCTAATATATTGACACAAAGTTGATGAGTTTTTTTTTTCTCTCTTATGAGAAAGAGTAATTATTAACTCAAAGGTAACATAACTGATAACATAGATGAGTTGTAAATACAGACATTATGAGTTCAAATCTTAGCAATCTTTTAGAGTCAGACAATTTATTTCTTATAAATAGCTTATTCTCATAATGAATGTATTATTTTTAATTGGATCGGAGAAGAAATTAGTCAAAGTACTGATCCGAACACCTGACAATTGAAAAAAAAAAGAGTACGTATTTTCCTTTCTTTATGCTGAAACAACCTTCTTCTACTATATCTAGCTAACAGATAATAAAGTTAAAAAAATCTCTTATATGATGACTGCTGCCTAGAAGGGTATCACGAAGCACGCTCGCTGGCTCAAAATTGCGGGACAGCTCTAAGGTAAGAGTCTTATGTTTTTCTTTTTTGTTTTAGTTTTTTGAAACGAAGAGGATTAGTTTGATGTTTTGATTCGAGTTAGTATCGATAAAATAACATTTCTTAAACTAGAGCACGAGCTTTAAAACAAAAACGAAAAACATTGTATCCAAGATAAGCTTCGAAAAGTTTAAAGCTAGATAAGATTATATCTATCTCATGAAAATTGATTCCCCTATTGATCCAATCTTCTAGATCTTTTGTTTTACGTTCTCTGTGTGAGTGGGTGTTTGCACATATGGAAAAGTAGTATATATTATCGAATATCGATGTAATAACATCTTTTAAACGAGTATATGAGACTTAATTATGAATCTCTTACTCATTGTCAACTCTAATATAGAATGTTGGAGAACTCGCTAAGATGAGAGCCGCTCTTAAACTCATTCAAGAAGTCTGAGTTATGTTATATAAGTTTTGACCCACATGAAAGACGGAACGATTTGGGCACTATCAATGAAATAGACATATCTGTAAAGATGCAAATTAGTTGCACCTGGACAGAAAGACTGGAAAGAGTAAGACTTAAGAGAGAAGGTGTTACCACATCAAAAAGATTTGGCCCACCATTTCAATGGTCTGGATCTACCAACTGTTCCAGGGAATGCCATAACTGCTTTTGATGCTTGAATGAATTGTATATTGATATATACCCCATTGAGTGGAGCTGAGAATAGATCAGTTTTAACTTTGCTTTAAAAATTACATTCTTTCAAGAATCACCCTAAAACCCCACTCACATGACATGAGTCAGAAGTCTCATGCAGTGCAGACCCCCTTTAAATGAGATTACTCTCAACCGCCCGGTGGACGGCGGTGAAACTCCGGCACCGGCACGTCCACAGGATCAATGCACATGGAGATAATCTACAAGATGGGGGTTGGGGACTACAGTAGTGCTATTACAGGTTCAATTAATCTATCCATGGAACGCTTTTCGAAGTGGATCAGGTCCTTCTTCTTTAACTGCTTTCATGTGCTGGTATTGCTAACGGTCTTAACTAGCATTGAACTGGCTTACTCGTCAGCTTTTATGTCAGTCAGATTTCTCCAAATTGAATGTTGATAATTTATTGAGTTCAAACTATAAGAAATTTATGTTTTTTGAATTTTTTAGTCTCGACGTAGATAATTTATCTTTGGTCAAATCAGAGAAGAGATTAATTGAAGTGTGCGTAAGTTAATCTAAACACCCTTCATTATTGAACAAAAAAAAAAGCAATTTTGGACTTGGACTTAAAATCAATCACAATTATTGAATCAATGACAATGATTGATCAAATTAGCAAATTAAGTCACATTTTAATACCAAGTAGTATTGCTTTTATTCTCTACTATTGGATTGATGGTAGACTTCACTATTAGTTCTGATTCACTATCAATTCAATGATTATTGTGCATAAGGTCCATAATTAAGGTCCACCCATGAATACTTGAGCCCTTAGACAAAAATTTTAGATGAGGCCCTAAATTATTTTTTGATGTGTAATTTATTTATTTTTGTTTTGTTTTTAAATATTTAAATTCAAATCTTTTAGCATGGACAATCAAGTGAAAAACAACTTACAAAATAAACACATTATGTAAATGATTATATTAAGATTAAAATTAACTCCAAAGTTCAAGAAAATAAAACTAAACAAATAGGCTAAATTTTTTGAAAATTAAGATAAAATGAGAGAATAAAGTCTTATAATTTTTTATACAAGAATATGGTATGATCTTTTTTTTTTCAAATGTACATATATATCTATGATTTAAAAAAATTATTGGTAAATTTTTTTTTATGGTTTCACATAACATCCTAAATTTTTTACATTCTTTTTAAATTATATAATATTATTTTATGAAACATGTGCGAATGGGGTCCTAGGTGACTGCCTAACTTGCCCAAGGGTGGAGCCAAGTCTGTCAACAAATTAAGTGCAAGTAACATTTTCCTTTGGAAAATGTCCTCACTTGCATTACTTGGCTTCTCCCACATTGTAAGCAATTATTTCTTAAGGTCATGCTACCCAACCCTAATTCTACCGAAATGCCATATTTAAATATAAAATTTTGATTTGATCTTGTTCTTATAAATAGTAAATATAGTGAAATAACAAAAAAAAATAGGGTTTACATGTAAGTTGTGAAAATAATTTTTCGGTATTATAGCAAAACCTGTTTCTCAACAATCATTTGTGACACGACTCCACACTAATTCCACTACACTTATCACTTAATGAAAAAAATCTATAGTATACGGTTGATATCGTATCTAAGAAAATTGAATTCAAATTAAGATCCAATAAGATCATGTTAAGGCATAATGAGCTCTACAACTCAATCTAAGATGATAAATCATTGCACTTTAGTTATTCAAGCATGCAAAGCTCTTTTTTAAATATAAATATATTTTTCTTTAATTATTAATTTAAAATTAAAATAAATAGAGAGAAAATAAGAAAAAGATAGAGGAGAGGAAAGGAAAGAAGAGAAGAGAATTAATGAGGTTATTGGACATTGAAGAGTATTATGGTTGAATTGTTTGGAATTGGGAGTTGTGCAGAAAATATGATATTTTTGAGTTGTAAAAAGAATTATAGGATGAATTTTGTACCATTAGATAAAGTAAATGAAAATTAAATCAATATTTACCATTGTTGTGTTTTTATAAGTTAAAAATTCAACTTCCTAAATATAATATTAGCTAGAGAGATGTCTATAAACTTCAATATCATAAAAGCATTTAATGAATATAGAACGGTTTAGATGATAAACGAAAAAAGAATTGCATTTACTCAATTGCATGCACAAAATACACTATCACCTAGCGTCGTTTGTCACTTTAGATCATCTTATGCTTGTTAAATGGTAGTCTCCCATGGTTATGAATATGTGGATAGGTGAATTAGAGAGAGAGAGAGAGAGAGAGAGAATTCTTTAGTAACCAGGGGAGGGTTGGGGCACCGGTACAAGGGTCTATATGACATGATCAATAATTTGATATAATTTCAATTAGGGCTTGCTTTGGGTTCGTTAGGGTTATTACTTCCTTGGTAGCTCCAGGCATATTATAAGATATTGGGTATAATAATGTTGCTATTTGTGTTACATGGCTACTTAGTATAGGGTAAAAAAACAATTTCTTGGACTAACTACTATTTATAAAAAAATAAGTTATACGACATATATCAAAGCACACCCATTGAGGGAATAGACTATTACACGCAATGAGCTCACTATATTTTTCTAGAGAATAGCTCAAAAACTTCACTACCCAAGATACTAAAGCACAAAATAGAGATAAAACCTTGTGCACCACTCATTTGTAGATAGGGGTATTAATCGAGAACTGTTCGGGATCGGCTCACAAAAAACTTAGCTCAAATTTGACTCATGTTTTATACAAGTTGAACCTGAACAATTTTTTAGGCTCGTTTTAAAAGTTTGACTTAAGTTTGTAAAGCTTGGTTCGTTTATATGTAAAATAATCGAACTACTCAGATTCGGTTTAGACTTGCTCGAGTTCTAAATAAGTTGAGTTTAAACAATTTTTTAGATTCATTTAGAAAAATGAGTTTGACAGACTTAGACTCAAGTTCGTAAAATTCGATTTGATTAAAACTCTTATCTATAGTCGTCGGATTAGTAACGACGATTGATTCGATGACTATAGATGATTTGACGGATATTTTTGGTGTGTGTAGCATTTGCTCCGCAAAATAGTTCTTACCAATTCTATTATCCATAGTGGCTGAGAAATCTAGGACATTTATACAGCAAAATTAATTTTTGATATCATAACTCTATTTTTACTCCAATAAAAATTTGACACATACAATTATCTATTTTTTTTCTTTCTAAATAATGCCTACAAATGAACGAAAACTAAATTTACAGCTAAAAAGATGTACTGAAATTATTTTAGAGGTACGATAAACTTATCCGAGAAATCGAATGCTTCCTCGAGTCGTCAACCGACAGGTTGTATTTGAAGAGGTGGGAAGAAAAAGACAGGAAGAGAAATTTAAAAGAAGCATGTGTTGTCTGGGGCCGTTTGCCGGATCCTTTTTCTGCAGCACCAATCCAATCCAATCCTCTCAGCACCCTGATTTCATAGCACTGTCCAAGCCGATGGCTAGTAAGTACAATTATATAGAGCTGTCATTGAGTGAGTTGGGTCCTTATTGAATTTTATTGGGATCGTGATAAAAA